GGACATGGCAAATTCAGGAATCACAATCAACACAACTAGCGTGAGATGTTTTATTAGCTTCATTTCATCTGACACACCATTTTCCCACTATCCATTTCTTTACTGGAATGCTGAAGTGAATTTTTTCATTTAATAGATTAAGGCTAATAGGATTCATCCATACGTCTTATTCCTGGACACTTAAAAAAAACTTAATTGATACAGACAGTACATTGATGCAATGTATGTGTAATTAACATTCTTTGTGTGTATAAAAGTACAAAAATAAATACATTTACCATTGTGTACTATATAAAACTATATAAATGTATCTGCCTGCATATTATATTTCTTTATTTCTATTCAAATCTATTAGTTACTACTACTACTACTACTACTAATAGTGATTGTGCTTTAGATGCTGTGGACCTCTGTAGAATAGCAAATTTCGTCAAGCATCACTGCAACTCGACAATTCCTCTTGTTAAACCAAGAAGTTGTACTCTGAGAATCTGTGGGCTGGAAGAAACAGTGTACGAAGGGGATGAAGGACAGCTTGAAGCCTGGAAAGATTATTACCTGCCAGAAAGGATGGAAATGGAGGTGATTGGTGCCATTGATGACTTCCCATGTGATGCATTCGGTCTGCAGTTGGTACTTTTGTTGGGTGAAGATGGAAGGGTCTTTGCCTGTGAGGATGAGCTTTTGCACCTCGTAGCCAGGAATTTGAGGGACCTGTTCCAGTGCGAAATGGCTTTCCCTGGAATAGAGACCTTCAAGCTTGGAGAGTGTTTTGAAGAGCCGGTGAGGTCACAAAAACATACATTATACATTTATGTTTTTATTCCTACATGCATACTAACATTTCAACGTGATCTCATGATAATTCGTATGTATTTTACGTAAAATGTGGTTCTATAAAACGTACATTTACTTACGTTTTTACAGGCACTAAAACGTACAAAACTGACGTATTGACGACACCTAAAAATGAATCCTTTAAACGTACAAAATTTACGTATTGACGACACCTAAAAATGAATCCTTATGAATATTGAAATCGCGGCATTAATTTTATTAGTTTTTAGTTGTCATATGAATTAACTTGTTTTCAATTGCATTATTAAATTGTTTACTTATGAAATTATAACATATGGTTTTGTTGTGATTTCTGCTGCCAGCTCGTTTCCAAGAATATCCCTACATAATGTTAAACACGACTTCACTTTAAACCTTAAAATAAATAACATTTCTGCAATCGTTTGACCTTTACTTGTCATGTAATGTTTACTTTGATTGCCATGGGCCACAAAAGTTTTCTCCGACATGCTGTGACTGACAATAGAACTATAAAATACACCAAAAACGCAACATAATAACGAAATGAAACAATTTTATTAATGCGCTGTAATCCAAATCTTCCGAATCCATAGGACTGCGAGGAACAGACCCAAATCCAAGCCTTTATTCGGCGACCTTCTTCTCCATCCCGAGCAGCGAGTCCAGTGACCGTAAGCAGCAAAGCCCGCGCTGACTGA